GGCGACGGGGTTCGTGGTTGGGCCTTTGTGAAACCTTGAAAGGGGAAAATTATTTAAAATAATAACAACCCCCCCTCCAAGGCTTTTGCATTAAAGAATGGGGGGGGGGGGGGGGGAAAGGCCGTTCCATGTTCTAAGGGGAGGGCATTAGGTAGGTAATCAAAAAATAACTGAATGGGCACAGGATAAAAGAAGCACCAGAGGTTAGGTTTTTCTAACCCTCGTTACACAAGGAGTTCTTTTGTGTAAAGGCTTTTTACAGCAGTTTTTACACGTCTAGTATCACGCTTTACATGAGGAGGGCATTGCTCTGTTTCAGTGATATGGGCATCCCCACGTTTTGGGCATCCCCATTCCCAAACCCGAATGATATGGGCATCCTCTTATCATATCGACTTAGCGATTTGAGGAAGGGTTTTGGGAATGGGGATGCCCAAAACGCGGGGATGCCCATATCACTGTGACAGCGCCCTTCAAGAAACGTGAAAAATCAAGGATAACAGGACAGGAAACGGTTTAACGCAAAAGAGATTTCAGTATTCGACTCAATTTGTTACTTACTCATAGAACAAAGGACGAGCCACAGCGCTGCCTAGCGTGTGCGCCTGCGCAAACAAAGTGTACAAGTATGGTATCAACAGGTAGCGCGTCAGCAGCACTTTGCGTGCCATTCCAGCAAAATCCGCGCCAAAGGATGCGGGGTCCTGAGGCTGAAAACAGAGGAAAAGCGGGATACATGAGTATTATAAACAACTATTAGAGAACTTTTGATTCTAACGCGAGGATGACTACGAGTACGAGATTTCTCCTTACTAAGTAGAGCGCGCGCGTGAACCAGCGTCATTTTGGCGGGAAAACGTGGTAGCCGTTGAGCATTAGCTAGAATGTCAACAAGTTATCAACGGTTAGTACTTTTCATATCATTTTCCGATCGGGAGAGGGCTTATCTTCTCTCAATACAAATAACCCTGCTAACTTTGGTGGAAAAAGGTAAAATGAGGCTTTCCAGGGTGTCTATTTTTTGAAAAAACGCGAAAAAACTTTAAGTGAAATCTTGTCCTCGCAGTCGTCCTCGTCCTCGACTCAATTTGTTGTTGTTGTTCCGCGAGTCTAAAGCTCTCTATTTTGTTTGTCAGTGTATGTTTTCAAAGCTCAACTTGTTTTTCCGCTTATTTTCTGCTCTGGTGTTATTAGTAACAAGAAGAGAACTCACCATTGCGGAATTTGTATTGTGGTTTCTGGAAAAGGGGTAAAACGCACCCAGCTGCGTCCACCTTGCACAAAGTTCTTTATTTGTGTTGCCGTTAAATCCACAGATATCCGCTCCAACAAGAGGAACGCCGAACAGATTAAAATTCAAGATTCCTAATGATTGGATTTAATAAAACATTAAATAAACAACTATGCTAAAAGAACGCAGGCAGTCACCGTGCACAAACTAGAGACTTAACACACTACAAAAAGTGCCTGATTTCGCTCAAGGGAAATTTGTCACTATAATCTACTACAAATCTAAACGCCTTCCTTTCAGCCTGGCAGACCTCAATCGTGATAAAAATGTGTTTTACTACCGTGAGGAACATAGAAGCATCACTGAAAGAAAGATACCTTTCTTACATATTTTCCTGATAATGTTTCGTAATTTTCGCGATCAAAAAAAAATATCAGCGAAAAAAACTATCATGAAGCCTTTAGATCTTGCTCTGTCATTTTACCAACGATCCTTTAAAATTAAAGAAATGCTTATAATTTGTAATGTTAAGTCACCTGGTATTGAAAGATACAGGTCGTTAAATGTGGCGGTGTTATCACCCAGCCAGTGTCCACCATGCAGGCCAGCACTGGGAAATGTTGATCGAGATATCACCACACTTCGTTTTCTTAAGAGTTTTTTAAGTGCGCTGAAAGAGACAAGGAAAATATCCCACAACGGCAGTAAACAAACAAAGCTCACTAGTGATAATCACTAGAGAGCGTTATTTATTCATCGTGACTATTTGTGAATTAAATACTTTTGCGTGAATCATGAGGAAGGGGACGTGTCACCCTCATCTGTGAGGATAGTCTGAAATGTCACACGTCTCCACCCCCCTAACCCGTGGGGGCGCCGGGGAGAGAGAGTCTTTCCCTCAATAGATAGATAGATAGATAGATAGTTTATTTGTAAAAAGCTTGCAGCTACTAAGCTGAATTGTGTATTTACAATATAATATATAATATAATATAACAGAATCTTACAATAGTGAGTATAATAAAATGATAACGATAAGGTCCTAAATAAATAATAACATCCTATAAATATATAAAAAAAGCTTAAAACTGTTAAAATATATACAACGTCATCGATCTCGTTTACAAAACTCACCGAGCGCTAAAATTCGTTATCAATACATGATCTTACTAAAAAACTATTTTTGAAACGCTCGGTCTTACATTTGGGAATCGCAAAACGCCTTTTGCACCGACGGTTATAACACGACGGCCCTGACGATTGAAGCAAGTTATGTAAGCGATGGGCCGGGTCATTAGCAAACGAGGGGAAGGTCTTTTTACATAAGCTAGCGATGTAGTCATTAATAGACATAATATTTGAAAGCTCTAAGGCCTTTCTATAGGCCAGTCCCGGGCAAATGATTGATAATGCCCGTTTCTCTACATTCTCTAGATCTTTCTTTAAATACAATGGCAGGGCGTAGAAAAAGGCAGGCGAAGCGTAGGTCATGACTGACCTTATACAAGATGTATAAAAAAGAATTAATTCATGCCTTATATAAATAATAGTGATATCACTGCCAGCCTCTCCTGCCACTAAAACTGCTCACAGTGCTCATAAAAATTAGGTAACAATCTCGAACTCTCGAACGTGAACGGACATAAAACGGAGGTCTATCTTTAAAACGAGGAAGGGTTAACGCTAACGTTATGATGATAAGTTTGTAAACTTAAAATGGCGTGAATAAGTGAATACGAGTGAAAGTAGCTTGGGGAAAAGAGGGTATCGCAAGAAATGCGATCAATGAATTGCGACGATAGGAGACGCAGATGTTTCGACGAGGTTTTTTTTATTAACGGTCCTTTAAGTATTGGTCATCTTCAGACATTAAGTCTTTGTTGACAGTTCGGAGTGCACAGCAGTACAGAGTAAGTAAGGAGGGATATTTTCTTTTAGTTTTTCAAAGCAGGCCAACGCTTACCTAGCGATTCTCCGTCGTCATAAAATAAGCCTCCTCTAGCCTCATCAGTCGACGACAAAGCTACAATAAGCTGGAATGGATTTTGACGGCTGAAACCAAACCAACAAGACAGAGTCACCTTAGAATACGTCCTAAAGCAGGAGCCCATCATGCAGTTGTAGCTTTCTGCCATATAGAGCTATTTTAAAACTGTATGAATGCAAATGACACATTTTTATCAAAACGCTGACGTCACAATATTGACCGTTCCTCTCCCAGCGTTGCTTGACAGGGAGAGGAGGGCCAGACTACGCGCATAAAGAAATATCAGCACATCAAGATCACAGCGCTTTTTGTCCCGTTTTCGTATCCTTTATTCCTGCATGCCTAATGCTAACATTACCTTTGATACGTAGTGATATCAGGTTGTTGAGTCGGTATGACATATCCTCCTCTAAAGTGGTAGGGAATCTTATCCCAGGGAGCTTGTAGCGTGTGATATTGACCTCCATTTCCTGATGATTGGAGAACAGAACCATCGGATCCATCGTACCACGTGGCATCCGGAAAGTAACCGGTGACTGAGGTAGCTCCCTTAAAAGTAAACAAACAATAATAATAATTAGATGACAACGAGAATGGAGGAGTGATAGCGGGGATAACGGGAGGGGGGGGGGAGGTGGGTGGGATAAATATATCTTGAGCAAACGCCGGAACTAAATGCAAACGGCTTAAAGATGATGCTAGGCATAGGTACCACCCTAGACCCGATTCCTGAAAATCCGATTAGCACTACACCAGGATAACTCTACGATCGCATTTTTCGTCCTTTCACAATAATTTTCACGGAGTTATTATAACTCCAGAAATGGAGTAAAAATTTCAGGTCCAGGATGACTCCTTTTTGGGGGTTATTTTAACTCCTGAATATTAACTCCAAATCTGGGGTGCGTTTTACCCCGGAAAAAGAGTTCTTTAAACTCCCTTTTGCAGTTGAAATAACTCCCAAAAAAATAACTCCAGTTTAAGAATTTAAATTATATTAACCCCACTGGAGGAGTTATTATAACTCCTTGAAAATTACTGTGTTAGATTGTTTAGAGTATCATCCTTCTTGTCAGAACTGGATCTTGAGGTAAGAGTTCAAGCGAAAATTCTAATAAGCTCGGACAGTCAAGAAAACTTTGCTTAAATTCTACGATCTTTCGCGGAACCTGCGTTAAACTGTACTGCTGTACCGTACAGAATCTGACTTGGTATACTTACCTGTGTTAATACTGGGGTTATGAGTAATGCCGGACCAAGAAGGAATTGTCGGTCAACGGGGTACGTAGTTTGATCTTTTGGAAACCTTGAATGAAAAAAGTATTTGAAATAATAACAACCTCGTCTCCAAGGCTTTTTCATTAAACAACGCGAGGGGGGGCGGGGAGGGGGGAGGCCGTTCCATGTTCTAAGGGAAGGGGCATTAGGTACGAGGTTGGAACAATAAACAGAAAAATCAACAAATAACTGAATGGGCACAGGATAAAAGAAGCACCAGAGGTTAGTTATTTTGTGTATAGGCTTTCTACGGCAGTTTTTACCCGTCTAGTATCACGCTCTACATGAGGAGGGCATTGCGCTGTTACAGTGATATGGGCATCCCCGCGTTTTGGGCATCCCCATTCCCAAAACAGTAGTGTTATGGGCATCCCCTTATCATATTACCTTAGCGATATGAATTAGGGGTTTGGGAATGGGGATGCCCATATCAATGTGACAGCGCCCTTCAAGAAACGTGAAAAATCAAGGATAACAGGCGGAGAAACGGTTTAACGCAAAAGAGATTTCGCTATTCGACTCAATAAGGTACTTACTCATAGAACAAAGGACGAGCCACAGCGCTACCTAGCGTGTGCGCCTGCGCAAACAAAGTGTACAGGTATGGTATCAACAGGTAGCGGGTCAGCAGCACATTACGTGCCATTCCAGCAAAATCCGCCCCAAAGGATGCGGGGTCCTGAGACTGAAAACAAAGGAAAAGCGGGATACATGAGTATTATAAATAATTATTAGAGAACTTTAGATTCTAAGACGAGGATGACCACTAATACGCGGTTTTCTCCATACTAAGTGGTGCGCGCTCGTGAACCAGCGTCATTTTGGCTGGAAAACGTGAAGCCGTCATCATTCTACTACGAGCTTTAGCGGGAATGTCAACAAGTTATCAACGGTCAGTACCTTTCATATCAATTTCCCGATCGGGAGGGCAGTATCTTCTCTCAATACAAATAACCCTGCCAACTTTGGTGAAAAAAGGTAAAATGAAGCTTTCAGTGGTGTCTATTTTTTGAAAATAAGCGAAAAAACTTTAAGTGAAATCTTGTCCTCGCAGTCGTCCTCTTCCTCGAGTCTAAAGCTTTCTATTTTGTTTGTCAGTGTATGTTTTCAAACCTCAACTTGTTTTTCCGCTTATTTTCTGTTCTAGTGTTATTAACTCACCGTTGCGTATTTTGTATTGTGGTTTCTGGAAAAGGGGTAAAACGCACCCAGCTGCGTCCACCTTGCACAAAGTTCTTTATTTGTGTTGCCGTTAAATCCACAGATGTCTGCTCCAACAAGAGGAACGCCGAACAGATTAAAATTCAAGATTCCTAATGATTGGATGTAATAAAACATTAAATAAAGAACTATGCTAAAAGAACGCAGGCAGTCACCGTGCACAAACTAGAGACTTAACACACTACAAAAAGTGCCTGATTTCGCTCAAGGGAAATTTGTCACTATAATCTACTACAAATCTAAACGCCTGCCTTCAGCCTCGCAGATCTCAATCGTGATAAAAATGTGTTTTACTACCGTGAGGAACATAGAAGCATCACTGAAGGGAAGATACCTTTCTTACTTATTTTCCTGATAACGTTTCGTAATTTTCGCGATCCAAAAAAAAAATATCAGCGAAAAAAACTATCATGAAGGCTTTAGGTCTTGTTCTATCATTTTTATTGACGATCAATTAAAATTAGAGAAATGCTTATAATTTTGTAATGTTAAGTCACCTGGTATTGAAAGATAAAGGTCGTTAAATGTGGCGGTATTATCACCCAGCCAGTGTCCACCATGCAGGCCAGCACTGGGAAATGTTGATCGAGATATCACCACACTTCGTTTTCCTAAGAGTTTTTTAAGTGCGCTGAAAGAGACAAGGAAAAAATCACACAACGGCAGTAAACAAACAAAGCTCACTAGTCATAATCACTAGAGAGCGTTATTTATTCATCGTGACTATTTATGAATTAAATACTTTTGCGTGAATCATGAGGAAGGGGACGTGTCACCCTCATCTGTGAGGATAGTCTGAAATGTCACACGTCTCCACCCCCCTAACCCGTGGGGGCGCCGGGGAGAGAGAGTCTTTCCCTCCCCCCCTCCCCCCTCGGGTTAGAGGGTGGAGATGTACGACATTTCAGACTACTGTGAGGAGGGTATTTAACTTAAATGTGTACTTTATCCACTAAAGACGAATGTCAGTTAGAAGTCAAAACGTCGCGATCTAGGTAAAAAAAAGATACATTTTTTAAGGCCGTCTGTATCTTTCTTCTTTTAACTCATGCACAAACCTAGGAAGCTTTGTTCGTTAAAATTTTTCCCCACTGAAATAAATGATTGGTAACTGTTTCAAATGTAACCTTTTAAAATCAGATAGTCCATGCCTATTCTACACTTCCGCTTTTAACGCACTGAACATGTTACTGCTTAAAAGCGGTGAGATTTAAGTTCCCAGTGGTAAGATGTGAACAGTGAACAGACCATCTGTCTGTAAATCGTAACTTTATATGAAAGGGTTTATAAAAATTAATAAATAAATAATTCATTTATTTACCCTCGGCAGTATTTATAGCACTTTATATTCTAGTGGGGCCAAGCAAATTACTGTAACAAATAATTCAAATAAAACATAACAGGGTTAAGAATCCCAACTGGCCGGAGGCAAACCAGCTGGCTATTTACGAGCGTGGTCGAGGATTTGAACTTGGGACTATCGTGAAAGAATCGAGCTAGCGGTAAGAACGGGACTTGAAATCGGAGCCACCAAATTGCAAAACCAGCGCTCTAACCGCTCTTCCTTGCTGCCTCCTGTCGGAGGTGTTACCCGGTGTTACACACGGGTTTCACTAGGGTAACAAAGTGTCTGCGTTTTCCTCACGGCTGTGACCATAATGAGCGGCTGTCGGTAATACGAGGATCCATTCATAAATATAGACAAGCGGTCTCATAATAATAGAGAAAACTCTGGGAATCGGCAACTTGTATCGGGCGATTTCACCTAACAAGGATTGTTGTGGCCTCTGTCTAGATTTCTTTTGAGTCTGAATCATACAACCCTGGGATCAAGGTATAAAAATCATGTTAGCATTGCTAGTGATATTGTACCTCATTGTCTGCTCCATTTCCGTGAGTCCATACAAGCTATGCACATCATAATGTGAGTAGCTATGATGTTTTGCTGACATACACAGAGTCCTTGAGTACAAGTTATCTCCGCTAACATGGGTTTTATACGGTGGATGGTCTAGTGGCGAGTTGGCAGGACATCCCTTTGTAGATCCATCCAGCTCATTCGAAGGCTCGTTCATATCAATCCACAGACCATCAAATTCAACAAGATCTCTGAACTTGGAAAGCATCTGCTCCCAGTAAGCCTGTGTCCCAGGGTCAGTGAAGTCTGGGAATGCGGTCAGTCCTGGCCATACCTTTGTCAACAATTGAAAAAATATATATCTCGAAAAATTAACCCATCAGGTGTAAATCAGGTGGCGATGCTTGCAGCCACTAGTGCAAGCTACAGTGGCTACGTACCTGGTTTTTAACATATTATTTTACAGTGTCCCCCATTAGCTTATAGCTAAAAACATAGACACTTAAATAAAGTTTTCATTCATTCATTCAAACTAGTCGATTATTGCCCAAAACAGGACGATCACCGACACCGGCAACGAACTTTGAAACGCAGAAACAAACAAAACAGAATCAATCACAAATCACAAACCATGACATTTTGAGCTCGTTCAAGGAAACATGTGTTACCTAAGAGGTCCGCTAAGATGATTAACGGAACAGAAAAACCCAAAATTACTTCGAAGTTTTTTTTATTTTGTTTCCTTCTTTTTCTTTGCTTTTTGTTTGAATCTTTTTAATTGATAAAACACCAGCTGCGAACGTTTTTTGATGAATGAAAAGACGACAATTTCAATATCAATGTTGGCTAAAGTACCTGGAAGTTTCAATCGTTACCAGACCTTCCAACCCTTAAAAGATACAAATCTGGAGTGTTTGAAAAAAAGCCCCCAAGAACCTGGAAATTTCCAAAATACGTTTCAAACAAAACCAAAAACGCAGATTATTTTTGTCATGGTATTCTTTATCCTATTAATGGTCTCTGTTGTACTGTCTCGTTGCTCTTTTGGCAGTAATGAGAATATTCTTTTTTTGTTATCCAGTTCGACAGGACGGCTATTAGCCAAGTGAGTATGCTATACTGAGGGCTTTCCCACAGACCCTAGCGAACCTATGTTTTACGGGAATGAAGTTGAAATTGGACTCAGGTTTCCCAAAAAAATTATTCGTCCGTTATGAAGACGGTTTTTTGAAAATACGCAGTTCCTACTGTAATTGTCTGGCAATTTTAAGATTTTCTGATTCACCGTGATTCACCGCCAAATAATCATCTTCTCTCTCTCTCTCTCTCCCTTTTTTTTTCTTTCTTTCGTTTTCGTTTGTATCATTTAATAAGAGATAGATTTAGACCAATAAACCTGCTCAAAAATATATGGAAACTGCAATAATTAGTAGATTATATTTCAGTTTGCGTTTATAATTACCTTGCCAATGAAAGTTTCGCCAGTCGATGAATTAATGAAAACGCCCATCTCAAGTCCAACATCATATGGCGGATAAGAACCCCTTGCTTGAGTGGAACTTATGCCAGGATCCTGAGATAGAAAAGAAATTATAGATGTCAAGTCACTGAAAATGAAGCAAAAATTTACCGTAAAATTCCGAAAATAAGCCCCGGGGCTTATATTTTTCAAAAGGCCCCTTTTGAGGGGCTTATTTTTGGAGGGGCTTATATTCGGAGGGGCTTATCTACGGAAGGAAACTCGCGTTTCAAAATCGATTGGGCTAGCCTTATAGTTGGAAGTAAATTTACTGTTCTTGCTCTGTTTTACTTTGTATTTGAGGGACATTTTCCAAGTACAAGCCCCCGGGGGGCTTATATTTGGAGGTGCGATTTAACGCAGGGTTTTTTTTGTGTTACCAGTTTGGGGGGCTTATATTTGGAGGGGCTTGTACATGGAGGGGCTAATTTTCGGAATTTTAGGGTATCTCCACAAAAGGTCCTTGCTCTCTTTTTTTATCACTAATAAAATGATGGAAAACAAAGTTTTTGGTCTCTGACTGTCTCTAGGTCTTCAAAGTCAATCCAATCCGTGAGAGATTCTAGTCTCCTCCAGTGAGCAGAACTGTGAGCCGCCATTTTGGATCACGTATTACTTTAGTCTGTTCAAAATAAAAATGGCGGGAGGCCAAAAAGGTTTCTTCGTTTAAGGAAAAAACAGAATGCAAGAAAAGGAATGGAAGGCCTAGACGTCTATGTTGCCTAAGATATGCTCTTATGTTACAGAACAGTCTAACAACATAAAATTATTTTAACTTTAATTAAACCACAAAAAGATGGAAGAAATTGTAGTAGAAAAGACATTTAACAACGATGCAGTCAAAGCCAACACATCTTTTACTGCAAAGATGAAGATTTTTGTAAAAAATACTTAAGAGTAGCCTGAATTTCAGCCGTCGCCCCGCAAACTCCCAAAAGAGAGTTTGCGACTCTAGAAGATCGCTGAAATTAGGGGGCTAACTTAGACTAGAGCAACTCACCACAATTGGAATGTAATGTTGATGATATTGGCCATGCAGTTTCTTTACAAAATCTCCTAGACCTCCCCAGTTGTTATTGTCAACAGTAAAGTCCAGATGCCTATCCATATACTCAATATCATTCCACTGAACATCCTGCGGAATGCCATATTTCCTCATGTTGTCATTCACTGTCATAGTGCCATTTAAACTTCCATATCCCCAGCGGCAAAGGTGGAATCCCAGACCCCAGTACGGGGGCATATATGGGCGGCCAACCACCTGAAGAGAAAAATATTGATATTAAAGCTCAATTTGTCGATAAACGTGAACCACGATTGGAGGCAAGTATAAAGTGGAACTCTTACAGTGTATGTCAAATATTATTGCATAATACAAAACAACAATTAAAAGACTCAAAAATTATGAAGTACTTTTGACACAATTGCGCGTCAGAAGCGTTCAACGTAAGTTGAAGTAGTCACCCTGCGAGCAGAGCTCGAGAAAAGGAGACTGCCTGAATCACGTCCCTGCAAACCTTCGAGGTCATCGCAGCCCGAGCTTCAGGACTAGCCAATCTTGTTCTCGTCAAACGGGATTTTCGAGTGCGAGCATTCGTTTATTGATCTAAACCGACGGTCGTAACCCGCTGTAGCAAGCGCATGGATATTAAGCCTGGGTTTTAAACTATATCCTAGCAACATGCCGCGCATTCTCAACAAAGATCTTACTGCATTTATGCAGAGTCTTTCTAGAGCACGCTAAAATCAAGGCAGCGAAGAACGGCTCTGCTGATAGTGGATGAAGTAGTATTAGCTCATAGTTATCACTAAGGCGTGACTTGAGAATTCACTATTCTGAGTTCCTAACTTTTTTAGAAGTTTTAAGGTTAGAAGTACTCAAATGTCCTAAGTTTTAACATCAAGAACGCAGCACTATTTTCACCGCGTATAAGCAGTAAGTCATCTAATAACATCTACAACGCTACGCTGTAAGATGGTAGCAAATCAATCTCATCTCAATTCTTGTCGTTTTCCTGTACGTTTGTGCCCTTGGCTGGTATTTATATAGTCTTCTTTTTCTACCGTTACTTCGAACTAACGTATGTGACTGAATATGGACCACACAGAATCATGGGTCCCCGATATTTTTGACGAAACTATTAGACTGATAAGTACACGATTTTAGTTTATTACAATGTGTTTCTAAAGCATTACTTGCCTTCTCGAAGTTTCTCTAAACATTAATACTAACTTTCGGAATGCTTTGTTTTGTACGGGATTGGAATGTTTTTTTTTTTCTACGACAGATACACAAATTACTATCGTGACGTGGTTCAATTTTATCCTTGGCTTAAATTTTATTTTCCTTTGTTTCAAGCTCGTTATCATACATTACCATATCCAAACCAAAGGAAAATAAAATTTTAACCAATGATTAAATTGAACCTCAACATATCTACTGATGTCAACTTCTCTCATCTTGTACCCAGATCTCTTGTTCTCAAAACGTTCAGTCGATACCAACATGCTCTGACTACTAAACGTGTCTCCAGCTGATAGAACAATAAAGTATACTATTAGTATGACTTAAGTAAAACTTACTGCTGTAAATTGTTGGACAACTAAATCAGGGCTGGGACCAAGAAAGACGTAGAAGTCTAAGATTCCTCCAATCGTCCTGTAGGTTATGGCAGGAGTTGGTTGAAGAATAATATCTAAGAGATGGATGGAGCCGTTAGTATGTCATGATTATATAGATCCAGCATTTGTTTTAAAACAATTATTGAATGAGGTTGAGTATAAAATAAAGAATAACGCAGACCGAGGAAAATGTTCGGCCTAGGTGGATAAAACTCTCCTCGATCTGCATAATTCTTCATAAGATACGAAAGCCGAGTTCTTTTCTTTCTTAGCCTCATCAACTTCACATAGAATCTCTTAAAAATACCAATGCCAGTCCCCCGGCAGTTTAAAGTTTTTCATTCTTTGCGGAAATTCTTCAAAAACCAGTTGACAAGTATTTTGGCTATCATTTTAGTTTCAGGAATTCGGCCACCTTAAATAATTAGAGAAAATAAACTCTTGTGTTAATTACGGTATTTGAAATATGACTTCAATTAACGCAATTGCAGGAAAAAAATTATTTTCAAACAAAGGAAATTAACGCCGCGAAAGAGAAGGTAACATTTCAAAATGAAGCAAACTAACGCGAAGTACGACAAGAAGAAGCTAAATTGTTTTGAGACAAACTTAACAAATTTAAGCTTAATCCAATATGTTAACACTGTTCGTTGTAAGTTCCCTAAACGTACGGGGTAAAGCAAAGGAATCTGGGCTGCTTACCATTTGACACAAAAATCCGGTTGGGGTTTCGAAAGTATAATGGTAAGCGATTTACCAGTTTACCGTAGAAATGCCACATCCGTTAGGGTTTGAATTCAAGAAAAGGGCAAATTTGTGTAGCGTGAGTCTGGAACCGAAAAGGAACCGAGAAATTGGTTAATGGTAAGCAACATTCCGTGTGGTTCGTACCAACCGGAATGAAGGGACTACCTCAAAACGTACTCCTCAATTTTCGGTTGGAATTTCCGAAAAGTGACCTTACCATTTACCTTCCATCCGGAATTTCCGACATTTTCTGTCAAATGGTAAGCACCCCTGGTCACATCGAGAATTCTCAGAGTCATTGGCCGAAAGCCCACCACGTCACCTGCAAATAACTGCCTACAAATAATGGTCTGCTCATGCGCAATGTTGCCCAACGGTGTTTGGCTTTGTGTTTGGCTGCAAATAACATTCTGCTCATACGTAAATCAAACCACGCTTTTCTCCTTCTTGCGACCGCTCTTGCGTGACAATGGCAGCTTCCCGAAGATGTTCATTTAAAAACAAATTCGGTGACCGAATGATAAAACAATTATTGAACTCCGATCGGTTATCGCAAAAGATCATGATTTATCAGTGGTAAGCGGATCAATTATTTGCCTTTCGGCTGATGCAAACAACTGATCTGCTCACCACTGACAAATCACGATATTTTGCTCACCCTCGTCGAATAATTGTTAATTCACTCACTGAATCAAGTAATGGAGATGAAAAGTGGATTATGTACAAGCTAGACAAAGCCGCAAAAAGTAACATTGACTGGCTTGGTAATACTAGAGACATATAATAATGCATTGTACTGAATGGCATAGTAATGTCCAGGCATACCCATGGCATTGCTGTTCAAAAGAAATACTCCATTTGCATTTCCATCTTTTTCAATGGAGATGTAATATGGAAAAACGCCATACAAATTGGAAAGACCCTATAAACAGAAAGTAAAAAGTTGGAAATTAACAAACATTAAAGTGAAAACAAAGTGAAAATCTACATGAATTTTTCTATATTTTCAGACAGAAATGAATTCAATGACAGAGTTAACCATGCAGGGGCAAACCTGTGAATCACTATTACTGAAATGGTCTTGCAGATGTATGTGCCATATCAGTATAAGTTGATCTGGGATAGGGTTCAAAGAGGTCAAGTAAAATAGACTGCATTTAGCAAACTGCTTTGAATTGGTGCCCATGTCCAAAGCAGTCAGTCTTTTGGGTAAGACAAACTTAAAGCAGGGGGCACACATACACCAACCCACAGCCTGGCCACTACCTAATGAATGTACACAGCAATATCACTCATGCAGTGGCAGCAACGGACAGCTGTTTTGCCCTTATTGGGGCTCATCAGCAGGGCATAGCCATCAGACCTCTGTATGGACAAAGTCAGAGGTCCTTTACTGGTGAGGCAAGTGCAAAGCACTCCTTTAAGCACTAGCTCCACACAACACATATGGGAGCTGACTTGGCTGAGAACTGCACAGCAGTTCTCCCATGGCATGCATACTGGGGAAGGCGGATCAGGAGTTACCCTGAACTGTGTGCCAGTAAATTCAATAACACAAACTTAAAGCAAGGGTACACATAAACCAACCTATGACTATGACTGCCACTGCCCGGGTGATATGGCTGTCGCATGCATGAGGTACTGGCCAGGATGTGGGTTGGTGTATGAGTGCCCCTTGCTCTAAGTTTAATGTCCTTTAAGTCTTTTGGGTGCCAGGGAGGGAGGACAGGAGGTTCTCAGTGAATAACACCCTCCTCAATCTGCACAATTCTTCATATCAAACTCAGCCTGATTCAATAACTACAGGTATTACTCAGTTACATCATTCCAACTAGCTTCTTAAGACCTAATTTACAAATAACTAGAAATATGTTTATCGCAGAAACTCGCGAAGCTCGGGGGAGGTCCATAAAAGGTCAAGGATGGAAGGGGGGAGAGAATTGGAGTAAATTGTGTAGCTTGGGAGGGCTAGTTTCAACACTGGCTCTAATGTTGGAATGTGAGATGTAGTTAATCTCCTTTAGGTTGGAATATTAAGAAAATAAAACAATCTTCAACATAAATGACTGGTGCACAACACCATGCATCAGTTTCAACTGAGATTATAAATTGATATTATTAAAAACTGAATCATTAGATAATAAAACTCTAGAGCTCTGATTGGCTTAGCCATCATGGTATATGTAATGGTAACAGGACTGAGTGATTAACAAAATCGGACGACCCCGTAGCGGGAGTCCGTTTTGTTTAATCCAAGTATGATTACAGACTGAATTGGACTACACGAAGTTCTGTTACCAATTAATCATAACTTTAACAAAATTTGTGATATAATAGGCTATTTTTTAAATCAAAACACAAGAAATTCGAAATTTTGTTTTGCTAGCAGTGAAAAAAAAGCCATTTAAGCGTGCGCGTGATGGCGCATACTAACCAATTACTTAGGCATGACGCGTACTGTCCTATTAAATTGTCCAATTAAGGCTGAAATCAGGGCAGTTGATAGCCAATCAGATTTGACAATTTTGTTATAGTTATGATTAGAGNAATTAATCATAACTTTAACAAAATTTGTGATATAATAGGCTATTTTTTAAATCAAAACACAAGAAATTCGAAATTTTGTTTTGCTAGCAGTGAAAAAAAAGCCATTTAAGCGTGCGCGTGATGGCGCATACTAACCAATTACTTAGGCATGACGCGTACTGTCCTATTAAATTGTCCAATTAAGGCTGAAATCAGGGCAGTTGATAGCCAATCAGATTTGACAATTTTGTTATAGTTATGATTAGAGCCATTACTGTACATCATCCTCTCCAAATATGGTAACTGCACGCGTCTGCTTAAATACACAAGCTGAAAATCGGTTGTTTTTACAAATAAAGTCGCGAAGAATTTTCATTATTTTGTGGGCAATTTTAATAAAAGTCAATTATTCCACTTACGCTTGTTGGATATGAGATGATTATAGCCAACTCGGCACAATGCATCTCATAATATCCAATGCACACTTATGGAATAATAATTAGACATAATTCAACAAGATATTCAATCTTGAATCACAAGCCACCTAATAACTACAGTCAAACCTCTTTAATACGGACACCAAAGGGACAGAACCAAGTGTCTGCTTTACAGAGGTGTCCGTATTATAGAGGTAGGGAATGCATCATTTTGAGTATTTCTGGGACAAAATGAACTGTTATAGAGGTGTCTGTAAGGAGAGGTTAGAAGTGTATTAATTTTGCAAATTGTAAAACACAGAATGTTATAACATGTACTGATAAAAGCGATACTGAGCTAGTGGACTACAAATAAGGATAGGAGCTCAATAGCAACCAATCCCCTTTGGCCGGTCCCCTTCCTCATCACCATCTCATTCTTCTTTTAAAACATCTTCTAGGAAAATTAAGGAACAAATTACGATACCTTCAGTATGTGCAATACACAAGACATTGTCAAAAAAATACCTCTGGGGTTCCCTGGTCTCTGGCAAACAATGTTCCTCTTGTCCATTTTACATCAAGAAGTAAAGGATCGACATGTTCACCTAGGCCGTACAATGTCCCCGATGGCAACAGTGATGATAGCTGAATAAACTGATCTTCAAAAACCATTCCTCCTACGATACTATTAAAGCTAAAACAGCAAAATGTGGAAATAAAAATTAGGTAATAAGGGCAAAATGAACTATATTATTAGGATCTAACTGTCAGCGAGCAGATGCGGCATGGCCAAGAGTCAAAGTGGACCCAGGATCAACACATGCCCTTATAACACTGGTGGGACTAGATTTTTCAGAAGTGCTGAGGGCAGCTATCTTTATAAGCAACCTACTAATTTGCCTCTACCTAACCTGTCAGTCAGGATTCTTTGTCAGGTTTCATTTCAACTATCTGTTTCATATGACTGGCTTAGCTGCACTAGCCATCATGATGACCAAACTGGCAACTGACCACTGCCAATTAACTACAGTGTACTACTGTATGGGGCTAACATGCACTTAGTATACTACCGTTTTTTTTTTTTTTTTTTTTGTAAGTTGATTGTCATTCCAACAATTTTTTTTATTTTTCTGCCATTTAATCATTTTTCCAAATTTAATTTTATTAATAAATATTTTAACCAATGATTAAATTGAACCTCAACATATCTACTGATGTCAACTTCTCTCATCTTGTACCCAGATCTCTTGTTCTCAAAACGTTCAGTCGATACCAACATGCTCTGACTACTAAACGTGTCTCCAGATGATAGAACAATAAAGTATACTATTAGTATGACTTAAGTAAAACTTACTGCTGTAAATTGCTGGACAACTAAATCAGGGCTGGGACCAAGAAAGACGTAGAAGTCTAAGATTCCTCCAATCGTCCTGTAGGTTATGGCAGGAGTTGGTTGAAGAATAATATCTAAGAGATGGATGGAGCCGTTAGTACATGATTATATAGATCCAGCATTTGTTTTAAAACAATTATTGAATGAGGTTGAGTATAAAAATATTATATTAATGAAGAATAACGCAGACCGAGGAGAATGTTCGGCCTAGGTGGATAAAACTCTCCTCGATCTGCATAATTCTTCAAAAGATACGAAAGCCGTGTTCTATTCTTTCTTAGCACCATCAACTTCACATAGAATCTCTTAAAAATACCAATGCCAGTCCCCCGGCAGTTTAAAGTTTTTCATTCTTTGCGGAAATTCTTCAAAAACCATTTGACAAGTATTTTGGCTATCATTTTAGTTTCAGGAATTCGGCCACCTTAAATAATTAGAGAAACTAAACTCTTGTGTTAATTACGGTGTTTGAAATATGACTTCAATTAACGCAATTGCAGGAAAAAATTACTTTCAAATAAAGGAAATTAACGCCGCGAAGTACGACAAGAAGAAGCAAAAATTTTTTGAGACAAACTTAACGAATTTAAGCTTAATCCAATACGTTAACACTGTTCGTGGTAAGTTCCCTAAACGTACGGGGTAAAGCAAAGGAATCTGGTCACATCGAGAATTCTCTGAGTCACTGGCCGAAAGCCCACCTCGTGACCTGCAAATAACTGCCTACAAATAATGGTCTGCTCATGCGCAATGTCGCCCAACGGTGTTTGGCTTTGTGTTTGGCTGCAAATAACCTTCTGCTCATACGTAAATAAAACCACGCTTTTCTCCTTCTTGCGACCGCTCTTGCGTGAAAATGGCAGCTTCCCGAAGATGTTCATTGAAAAACAAACTCGGTGACCGAATGATAAAACAATTATTGAACTCGGTTATCGCAAAAGATCATAATTTATCAGTGGTGAGCGGATCAATTATTTGCCTTTCGGCTGAGGCAAATAACTGATCTCGACTGACCAATGACAAATCACGATATTTTGCTCACCATCATCGAGTAATTGTTAATTCATTCACTGAATCAAGTAATGGAGGCGAAAAGTGGATTATGTACAAGCTAGACAAAGCCGCAAAAAGTAATATTGACTGGCTTGGTAATACTAGAGACATATAATAATGCATTGTACTGAATGGCATAGTAATGTCCAGGCATACCCATGGCATTGCTGTTCAAAAGAAATACTCCATTTGCATTTCCATCTTTTTCAATCGAGATGTAATATGGAAAAACGCCATACAAATTGGAAAGACCCTATAAATAGAAAGTAAAAAGTTGAAAACAAACATTAAAGTGCAAACAAAGTGAAAATCTACATGAATTTTTCTATATTTTCAGAGAGAAATAAATTCAAGAACAGAGTTAACCAGGGGCAAACTTGTCAATCACTATTACTGAAATGGTCATGCAGATATTTAACAATTATTCCTCGAGCCTGAATGGGCTCTGAGTCAATAGCCCATGAGGCCAAAGGCCGAATGGGCTTTTGACTCAGAGGCCATGAGGGCGAGAGGAATCATTGTTTTAGTAAAATCCAACTAGTTGGTCAAAAATATCGAGAATAAAAACGTTTTAGCTATACTTTAGCTAGACTTTTGCCGCCAAAAAGCTGGCGCTTTTCACTACTAGTGGGCTATAACATATATCCTAGTAGTAGCTCAACCAATCAGAATGCTGCATTGATAATAGATTACTTGTTGGATTTTACTAAATTTGCCATATCGGTATAGGTTGACCTGGGATAGGGTTCAAAGAGGCGAAGTAAAATGAACTGCATTTAGCAAACTACTTTGAATTGGTGCCCATTGTCCAAAGCAGACAGTCTTTTGGGTAAGACAAACTTAAAGCAGGGGGCACACATACACCAACCCACAGCCTGGCCACCACCCAACCGACACGTGCACAGCAATATCACCTATGCAGTCACGGTGGCAGCAATGGACAGCTGTTTTGCTCTTATTGGGGCTCATCAGCATGGCACAGCCATCAGACCTCTGTATGGACAAAGTCAGTGTCTTCAGAGGCTCTTTACTGGTGAAGCAAGTGCAAAGCACTCTTTTAAGCACCAGCTCCACACAACACATATAGGAGCTGACTTGGCTGGGAACCCCACAGCAGTTCTCCCATGGCATGCGCGCTGGGGAAGGCGGATCAGGAGTTACCCTGATCTGTGTGCCAGTAAATTCAATAAGACAAACTTAAAACAAGGGGCACACATAAACCAACCCATGAACATGGCTGCCACTGCCCAGGTGATATGGCTGTCGCATGCATAAGGTACTGGCCAGGAGGTGGGTTGGTGTATGTGTGCCCCTTGCTCTAAGTTTAAGGTCCTTTAAGTCTTTTGGTTGCCAGGGAGGGAGGACAGGAGGTTCTCAGGGAATAAAACCCTCCTCAATCTGATCAAACTCAGCCTGATTCAATAACTACAGGTAACTCAGTCACATCATTCCAACTAGCTTCTTAAGACCTAATAATTTTACAAATAATAATTATTAAGAAATTAAAACAATCTTTAACATAAATGACTAGTGCACGACACCATGAATTAGTTTTAACTGAGACAATAAATTAATATAATATTATTAAAAACTGAATCATTAATTAGATGTAATAAAATTCTGGAGCTATGATTGGTTTAGCCATCATGGTATATGAGCCATTTCCGTATACCATGCTCTCCAAATATGGTAACTGTATGCGTCTTCTTAAAATTAAAAACAAGCTGAAAAATTGGTTGTTTTTATAAATAAAGCAGGGAAGAATTTTCGTTATTTTGTGGGCGTTTTTAATAAAAGAATTATTCCACTCGTGTTAATTATTGTTGGATATGAGATGATTATAGCCAACTTTTGGCGCGATGCATCTCATATCCAACACGCACTTGTGGAATAATAATTCAACAAGATATTCAGTCTTGAATCACAAGCCACCTAGTAGCTACAGTCAAACCTCTTTAATATGGACATTAAAGGGACAAATTAAAACCAATTGTCCGCTTTACAGAGGTGTCTGTATTATAGACGTAGGGAATGTATGATTTTCAGCATTTTTGAGACAAGACGAACTGTCCGTAATAGAGAGGTGTCCGTATTATGGACGTGTCCATAAGGAGAGGTAATAGACTGTATTTATTTTGCAAATTATAAAACACAGAATGTTATAACATGTACTGATAAAAGCGATACTGAGCTAGTGGACTACAAATAAGGATTATAGGAGTTCAATAGCAACCAATCCCCTCCCCTTCCTCATCAACATCTCCTTCTTCTTTCAAAACATCTTCTAGGAAAATTAAGGAACAAATTACGATACCTTCAGTATGTGCAATACAAAGACATAGTCAAAAAAATACCTCTGGGGTTCCCTGGTCTCTGGCAAACAATGTTCCTCTTGTCCATTTTACATCAAGAAGTAAAGGATCGACATGTTCACCTAGGCCATACAATGTCCCTGATGGCAACAGTGATGATAGCTGAATAAACTGATCTTCAAAAACCATTCCTCCTACGATACTATTAAAGCTAAAACAGCAAAATGTAGAAATAAAAATTAGGTAATAAGGGCAAAATGTACTATATTATTAGGATCTAACTGTCAGCGAGCAGATGCGGCATGGCCAAGAGTCAAAGTGGACCCAGGATCAACACATGCCCCTATTACACTGGTGGGACTAGATTTTTTAGCCCTGCTGAGGNTGTTCACCTAGGCCATACAATGTCCCTGATGGCAACAGTGATGATAGCTGAATAAACTGATCTTCAAAAACCATTCCTCCTACGATACTATTAAAGCTAAAACAGCAAAATGTAGAAATAAAAATTAGGTAATAAGGGCAAAATGTACTATATTATTAGGATCTAACTGTCAGCGAGCAGATGCGGCATGGCCAAGAGTCAAAGTGGACCCAGGATCAACACATGCCCCTATTACACTGGTGGGACTAGATTTTTTAGCCCTGCTGAGGGCAGGTATAATCTTTGTAAGCAACCAACTAATTTGCCTCAACCTAGCCTGTCAGTTGGGATTCTTTGTCAGGTTTCATTTCAAATATCTGTTTCATATGACTGGCTTAATTAGCTGCACTAGCTATCATAATGACCAAACTGGCAACAGTAGACTACCAGTTTTTTTTTTTTTTCTGTAAGGTGACTGTCAGTCCACCAATATTTTCTGATGATCTGTTAGTTGTCTGTCAGTTAACCATTTTTCATGATGTACCTGTATCAAATAGATCTGTAAAAACAGTGTCAGGAACTTTAAAAAAGCCCGTAATTAATGTGTTGTTTATAATTATTAATGCAACTTTGCTTGCTCTAGTGGAGAAGGATGTGAGGCAAATACATGACTTGTCGACGATGGTATCTGGAAAAATGTTGGCTAGGAAAATCAAATTTGTACAACACCAATCCCCAACCCTCACGTGCCCCCTGCCTTCATTATGACCCTGTCGCTTGGAAGTTTTTTTATTATTATTTTAACAAGATAATGGGGAGAATTGTAACGGAACACCACAACACTGATTAAGTGCCACCCTTGAATAACTTGAATAAGCGGCGCATTTGGAACAAAAAAGTTAATACTGAAGTTTCACTCCTGACTAGGCACTGTGGTCCCAAGATGATCAAAATCAAAGAACGTTAATACTGTTAGTTGATTATGGAAAATAATAATACCAAAGTCAAAACAATTCCTTGTCACATCCAACTTACCACACTCAAAAAAGTACTTTCCTCAAATAAGCATCACATAAATTTAAGGCATGAAAAATAAGGAAAGTAAGAAGCTTTACTCACATGACAGTATTTGTTGATTTTCTTTTCACAGAAATGCCAAATGGGAAAGTATTGACATTTACATCATAATCAAGTTCTGTTGCCTGGGTGCTGACTGTTGGGGTCTGAATGGGGACTTCATATCTTTTATTATTAGGATCATAGATCTGAGAATTGAATGTAGTAATACATATATTAGTAAAAAGCACTAGCACTAACAAATCCACAACACCAAGAAGCACTCTTTGTAACAATTGGTACTTTATATGGTTCATAGAAATCTAATAAGTAAAAACTCATGTCTGACTTCCTGTCATACATATGCACTAGTGAGAGGTGAATTAAGTTCAGCCATGTGAAGAGGCTTAAAAAAGGAGATTCTTTGGCTTTTAGAATGTAAGGGGATGGATAGACATTAGAATACATATTCTTGGTATTTCATGTTTTTTCGCATGTATTCCGTGCACTCTATTCTTGAAGAGTGTAATAATGACATCTAGTCTCCATATTAGCCTTAATCTCAATTATAAATGAACCATGCAGCACACCTAAAGAAGTTTGGCCCAAGGGGGTACTCCTGATAATGGCCCATACATGGAGGCTCCGCCCAAAAGGGATACCTTCTCAGNTTTACTCACATGACAGTATTTGTTGATTTTCTTTTCACAGAAATGCCAAATGGGAAAGTATTGACATTTACATCATAATCAAGTTCTGTTGCCTGGGTGCTGACTGTTGGGGTCTGAATGGGGACTTCATATCTTTTATTATTAGGATCATAGATCTGAGAATTGAATGTAGTAATACATATATTAGTAAAAAGCACTAGCACTAACAAATCCACAACACCAAGAAGCACTCTTTGTAACAATTGGTACTTTATATGGTTCATAGAAATCTAATAAGTAAAAACTCATGTCTGACTTCCTGTCATACATATGCACTAGTGAGAGGTGAATTAAGTTCAGCCATGTGAAGAGGCTTAAAAAAGGAGATTCTTTGGCTTTTAGAATGTAAGGGGATGGATAGACATTAGAATACATATTCTTGGTATTTCATGTTTTTTCGCATGTATTCTGTGCACTCTATTCTTGAAGAGTGTAATAATGACATCTAGTCTCCATATTAGCCTTAATCTCAATTATAAATGAACCATGCAGCACACCTAAAGAAGTTTGGCCCAAGGGGGTACTCCTGATAATGGCCCATACATGGAGGCTCCGCCCAAAAGGGATACCTTCTCAGACCTCAGGTATATAAAAGGGTAGGGATTTCACCTGTTGAGGTATATAATAGGGTAGGGAAATCTGTCATTTTAGTTTGTAAAAAGGCCCAAAAGGGCTCATAGATTCATTTTATGGCTGTGAAAAAGTTGAGAAATCATTCTGGTTTTGTGATTTATTCATATTTTAAAGACAGCGCCTTTACAGCAGTTTTAAAACATCTAAAAGTTCTAACCTAGGTATGTGAAAGGGGTACCATTTGTCAATAGAAAGTAAATGACCGGGGTACCTTTTCTTTCAAAACCAGTATGTAAAAGGGTAAGGGTTGGACCTGGGGGCAGTCTCCCCACCCCCCTAACCGGGTATACTATGCAGGGCATGGAGAACATGCAATGACATTATGGTCAATACACTTTTGAGCAACATGCACAGGACACCCAGTGATACACAGGATACCCAAATGAAGAGGCTGGAACTCTCCACGCTTTTCTTTAATTTCTTGTTTTTCAACCTTGTTTGTTGACCCTTTTTTTTCCAGAAAATGATCATGAGTCATGGTTCAAGGGGTCAATAAACCTCTTTAGCTGTTTTGTTTTCCCATGTAGGTCATGTGATAATACCCTAGTGGACTGAACAAGCACATTTCACGCATAATTTATGAAAAATTCCCCCTGTGACCTTCATCCGGAAAAGACAAACTAAAGACGTCTAGTGCAAGCATATGCCCCTTCCCAGCCCCCTACCCTCCCCAAAAGAAATAAATTTTGGCCATCAGATTTCTGGGAAATTAAGGCCAATTTTTACAGAACTTTGCAGATTTTCTAAGTTCAGTGTGTGATGAATCGACCTGTGAACAAATATCGTTGTTTTAATCAATTAGCTTAGCCTTTAAAAAAATGCATTTTTACGTGACTCGGTTAACGTCTATTGCAGTTGGTATCGACAGAAAGCAAAGATGACCCCAAATAAAATCAGGATCTAAAAATCTCACTAAGCCGGTAAACAACTTAACCAAGGTTCGAACCCTTTTTTTTTCAGCTTACCTTGAAATGAAGCCGTTCTCGAGTCTCAAAGCGAACATCCACGGTCAAATTTTCAATATCCTTGCCGTATGGTCCCGGGTGTCCTTGCTTAACTAGCCTAAGTAAATATCCCGTCTGAGTGTTCTCTTTGCTGACAAGTTTGTAACCGTAGTTGGTGGGATAAAAACAGTATGGAATATTCAACGGGACTTTTCCATCAACTTCCGCTGATGGTGGCCTCCAACAACAGCCTCGATTCAAGCAGTTTTGTTCGGATGCGTCATCTTCGGGGTAGCAATCAAATCGATAGGCGTCTGCTATTTGACTACAGCCCTCTTGAGACTTTCCAAAGTGAAGAATTGATAATAAAATGAAGATAAAAACGGCAACCCTTAACTCGAACATGTTTGAAGCCTTGTCCAAAGTGAAAGTGGAGGGTTAAAGGGGCCACTCGCGTTTTTAGAAGATTGGTTTACAGTAAAATGTCGCGCGGTTGTCATATGACAAAGTCGTAAAGGTAGGAACATGTGCTTTCGGACAAGGGACTTTGCCCAAAAACACTTTAACTGTTTTCCAAGCTCACTCAGTCATTCCAGGCCTCTTCAGGGCATTCAGATAATGGTGTGCGCCGTTCCCACAATCTGAACGCCTGGAACAGGCCAAGTCACTCCTAGGACAAATTAGAACGCATTAGTTGTAACCACAGGCAGCCCAAGCGTGTTATGAATCAAGTTCGGACAAATAAAAACAGAACTGTCTTCACTATGAGGTATAGCCTGTTCAGCTGTTATAATTACCCGGCTTTTTGTCAAGCACAAATTGGACATTTTGAGGTTCGAAATTTTAGCTCACGTGCAGCTCATGTACTGAGATTTAATTAGCCTGTTTAGGCTCCCTGAATTTCTTATTTTAATATAGACGTCTTGTGTCTTCCCTTCAGCCAATTACAGTACTTTCCACGCAATTTCATCCATTCCCAGTTTTTCCTTTGATTACTGTTCACTTATTCCTCAAAGAAAAGAAAATCGACAAAATGGAGTGAGTTATAACAGGCTGAAACTGACACAAGACAGCTTTGGACATGTTGAATAAGGCAAATAAAGAAGGCTCAGCAGGCTATATTAGGTGAGTGACCATGCGGATGTTAGAGTCCTTGTAAATCCCAATACATGCGGTACACGTGCGCGCTTTAAATTCGAACTATAAACGCGTATAATCATAACCATTACAAAATTGTCAAATCTGATTGGCTCTCAACTGCCCTGATTTCAGCCTTTATTACATTCACTTTGAAATCACTGGCTATCCGTGCAATCTGATTGGCTCTCAGCAGTGTGATTTATTCCTAAATCGCACCAGTTTTTGCTCTAAATCGCATCTTTTCCAAATCGCGTCCTTTATGTTCTAAATCGCATCATTTCAGTTTTAAATCGCACCATTTTTGTTCTATATCGCATCATTTCTGTTTCGAATACAAAATGAGATGTAAAAGCCTTTTTGTTTCGGCTTTTTAACAAACCGGCTACTTGATCAATAAAATATTAGTACTAACTAATTTCTGCGATTTCAAAATGGATGTAATAAAGTGGTAATTGAACTTCGTGTCGTGCAATTTTAGTCTGAAATCATACTTGTGATTTCAAATCGAACTCGCGCTGCGCGCTTGTT